GAACCTCTCAAGTCTAAGCTGTTTCTCCTCATATGCTGCTGCCCTAACCTCGGGCCGAACCGGAACAACAGGCTGCACTAGTATAACCTCTGGGACCTAGTCAACATGGACCCGCTGCTATGGCGTATGGTCCGTGGGAGTCTGAGCTCCTCCCCCAACCTGAGATGTGGCTGGCATAAGTGGAATCAACCCCGCCTGAGCTAGAGTACCAAACATGCGCAAGAGCTATACGAGGGACTCCTGAAGTTCATGGGTTTGCAACAGGAGCCTCGGGTGCTTGTCCCCCAACTGGAACTACCGGTGGCTCCTCTATCGCAACTCGAGCAGGTTATATGGCTGCACCACATGCCCCTCGTCGGCCTCTATCTCAGCCCGGACTCTTGTGGCTCTAGTAGGAGGCACGTGTGTCTGATCGTCGGATCCAGCAATGCGTGTCTTCACTATCTGTGAGGGCATAGAAAGTCAAAGATTCAGTTTTCAAAGTCAACCAATTCACATGATAAGGAATCAAAGAAATGAAATTTTCCTAACACTTCCATAGCCTCTCGAAGATAAGTACAAACGTTTTCTTACCGAACCTCAAGACTCTACTAAACTTGCTTATGATTCGTAACACCTACAAACGTAGAGCTCTGATACCAACTTATCATGATCCCAATTTTTCTCTGTAGGATGTCGTGATGGCACCTAGTCTCTACGACTAAGTAAGCCTAACATTTGATAACAACTTGACAAATATAATTAGCAGAAATGCTAAAAACAAGTCTAATATAACTCATATAATCTTCTGAAAACATAATATCAACAATACACTCCACAAGACTGGTGGAACTAAGTCATAAGCTCTATAGAGTGAACTAAGATGTCTATTGCATCACTGTTGAATAAAAATACAACACGAATAAAGGTAAAGGAAGGTGACTCCGAGGCCTGCGGACACCGAACAAACATACCTTGAATTCTCCATAAGTAGCTAACAGTCGATCACTAACGCTCGACATGAGCAAATGTACCTAGATCTACACAAAAAGATATGCAGAAGCGTAGTGTTAGTATACCATAATGACACCCAATAAGTATCAAGCCTAACCTCGGTAGAATAGTGACGAGAACATGTCAAGACACCTACTAGGATATAAATAAATAGTATAAAAACATAACAATGATAAATAATGGAAAATAGAGAAACAACTGATACGAAACAAGTGAATAGCATGAACTAATACCGAAATTGTAAGCATGGAAATAACACAAAGAAATCAATTGAAGAGAACCATAATGACCATATATGGACAATAACTAATAGAATGAGGAAGAGCACAACAAGAAGAAGTGTTCCAACCAAAACTCATTGCAACATAAGATAAACAACAAGAATCACAATGAGGTACCGCCTCGTATACAATAAGAATCACAACCGAGTTACCACCTTGTGTATATATCAATAATCACAACCCGAGGTACCGCCTTGTATTAAAAACTCACATTCTCAATTACAATCTTTTCTTATACCCCCATGTGAGCCTTACATTTGAATAGGTTTTAAAAACAGTTTTTTTGAAATAGCTACACACACTTTAGCCCACTTTATGACGCTGTGTAGCTTCACGTAGTTTCCCTACAAGAAACACATATAAGTCCCACCTTATGCCATCAAGTTCACATTAACCCATGCCTTATATAGTCGCATGCGCATCAATATCACATCACAATAATAATTTGCACCACAAGTGCCCATATATCACAACTTGCTAACAATCAACAATATCAATATTTTCACAACAATAGCCCATGGCTCCACCACAACGTGTAAAAGAATATCAATAATAACAATGAACGTAAAAAATTTAACAAGAAAGATATCTCAACAATTGACAACTTCGCCTAAAAGTGATACGGCTTTCACAACTTCAACACCAATAACTCAACAATGACAAAAATAATGTGTAACCACGAACTAAATATAAATAACTCACAATGGAAGAGATAACATGACTTCAAATAAGAATAATAGTAATAAAGAGATAACTTGTAACAATGACTTCAAATAATGATAATCAACAATGAAAGAGATAACATGTAAAATTAAAAGGGGCAACAAGTTTAACTAAAGCATGAGAGCAATTTATCAAGTAGGATGTAGAACAAGTGTTAAACAAGTCATTTAAGGCATGTAAGGATAGATCAACACAAGTAACAATAGATTGATTATGAAAATTTAGAACATGATATGACGTTTCAATTAAAGCATGAAAAGAGTCGAAGTAGTCTAAACCGGTCAAATACCATGTAAAACCTGTGTAGCTACTCGTCACCTTGCATACACAGCTTTCACATAGCACAAAAGACACAATCAATCCCAAATCCTAAGGGATAGTTCCCCCACACAAAGTTAGGCAAGATACTTACTTCAACTAGGCTAAATCAACCCTTGAAAATAGCTTTTTTCCTAAAATTCGCCTCCACACGGCTCAAAGCTAACCAAATCGAGTTAATATCATCAAACAATGCAAGAAAAATCAATTACAATAGATAAGCTAAAACCTTCACACTTTTCCCAAAAACTCAACCTAGGGCACCCCGTTCAAAACTCGGATCCAACGGTAGATTCCGACCAACCATGACCCCACGAGTTTATATATGTGATTAGTTTCAAAATCTGAGTCCTAATCGATTCTCAAAACTCAAATTCTTTTTTTAAAAAAAGCTTGACAAAGTTTCACAATTTTTCACTTTGATTCACATGATTCTGATGTTAAAATCTAAGATATATTGATGGAATATTACTAGAAATAAATTAGAATCACTTACCCAAAGTTTGTAGGTGAAAATTCCTTCTCCAGATCGCCCCCTACCGAGTCTAGGGTTTAAAAATGAGAGAATGTTTTGAAAAATCCCGTCTCCCAGCCCTTTGTAGCAGCTGCAGTTGTCGCATTTGCAAACCCTCGCAATTGCGTACTAGGGCTTGCATTTGTGAACCCTGACAACCTCCTTCAATATCGCAATTGCGACAATAGGCTTCGCAATTGCGGAGTTGTGAATCTCGCAAAAGAGAACAAATGTTCGCAAATGCAAACTGAGTCAATTGCGAACAAGTTCGCAATTGCGACATCTAAGCCCCCATTGTCACCTTCACAATTGCGATGCTGGTGCTCGCAGTTGTGATACTTGAGCACTAGTAGTTCATTTCAATTCAACCCCATTTCGAAACATGTCTGAAACTCATCCGAGCCCTCGGGGCTCCAAATCCACAAGTCTAAAGACATCATACAAGCTCGCTCGCGCGATCAAAACACAAAAATAACATCTAAAACTACGAATCCAACACTAAAACACATGAAGTAAAGTTCAAGAATTTCTAGAATTACAACTAAACGTCCGAATCCAATCAAAACTCCAAATGACACTAAATTTTGCAAACAAGTTCTAAATAGCATAACGGACTTATTCCAAGTCCCAAAATTAAATTTCGAACTTGATAGCTAAAAATCAACCTACGGTCACACTTTTCAACTTCAAATTGCCAAATTTTGGCAAATCAACCCAAATCAACCTATGAACTTCCAAAATCAATTCCAGGCATACGCTCGAGTCCGGAATCACGATATGAAGCTATCGGAGCCATCAAAATACCGCTCCGGGATCGTTTTCACAAAAAGTCAAAGTTTGATCAACATTTCTATTTTAAACTTCTAAGTCAGGACTCAAAGAGTCCAAATCAACCCGAAAGCTTCCTGGAACGAAATTGACAGACCCCGCAAGTCATAATATCATAAACACATATGTGTAAAGCATAAAAAGGGGTAACGAAACGCAATTACACAAAACGATCGGTCAGTCGTTACGTATATCCGAAAACTCCTCCAAGAATTTCTTTTTAATTTCTTACCACAAAACAAAAATAATCCTAGCCTTTAAAATTTATATGAACACATATCAGGAATCTAAGCTACTTTTGACCATCACTAGAGCGATATTCAGTGGACAAGGGAGCAGAGCCGCTCCCTTATATATATATCCACTTATGGAAGGTTAAGTGTCATCATCTCTCTTTATTGTATTCTTTTGTTCAAACCAAACATGTTTTCAATGCAACACTTAATGAAATGGTTTAGAGCTCGTTTGGATTAGCTGATTGTGAATAGCTGATAAGCTTGAAGTGTTGAAAAGCTTTTTAAGTGCTGAACTGATTTTAAAAAATAAGCATTTACGTGTTTGGATAGAAGTACTGAAACTGATAATAAGCAGTTGATGTATTTGATTAAAAAGTGCTGATAAGCTTATTCTTTTGTTAAAATGACTAAAATACCCTCGAATGTTTTTCAAAAAATTAAAAATTAAAAATTTCTTTGTAAAGAAAAGAATTAACAACGAATATGGAATGGAGACAAAGTCAAAAAATTTATTTTTGGAAAAGTATTTTGTGAATTAGAAAATATCATTAAGGATAAACTAGTAAAAGTGTTGGTCAAACTAAAAGTGCTTATAAGCTAAAAAGACATAAGTTGGGGGTGAAAAGTTTATGACTTATGGCTTATTTTAGCTTATAAGCACTTGGCTTATAAACACTTTGGGTATTTACCAAACGCATAGATAAGCCAAAAGGTATTTATGGGCCAATTTAACCAGCTTATAAGCTTAGCCAAACACCCTCCTAGTACTTCTGTACAGTAGCATTTGACGTAGTCTAGTTTATACAGACAGCCCGTCCTCATATTTGCAATTCTTATAGCAAGATGACAAACTAAATGAGGAGCACTAGTTATTTATGGAGTTAACTTAAATACACTAACTAAAAAAGTATCTGGTAAGAGGTTACTTAGCTTTTCTTAAGATAACCACATATATTAAACTATAAACTGTTGCATGCAATTACCTTGTAAATGACTTTCTTCTATGAAACATATAGACATTAAGAAACATACAACTCTATCAATTTCCAGTGTCTTAATGAAAAAAGAAATTATCAAGTGGTAAGATGTCGACAATCTGAGATGCTGTTTCATAAAAATCATTTACTGAAAGCATAGTGAATTACTACTTCATGGAAAGAACTGGCATTTCACCAGAATATGAAGATACAAATTATATCTGCAATGAGAGTGAAGATACACGCAGAGATGCATAGACCGATCACTAAACAGCAGATAATTTATACAAACAAAGACAAATTTGACAGCAAGTCAATCGTGTTACATCTACAATCTACTCTTTCCCACCGGTCCCATCTCCTTTGCCTTTGCCCTTAACAAATGCTTCTGTATTTTCCCTGTAGCTGTCTTTGGCAATGGTCCAAAAACAGCAGATAATTTATACAAACAAAGACAAATTTGACAGCAAGTCAATCGTGTTACATCTACAATCTACTCTTTCCCACCGGTCCCATCTCCTTTGCCTTTGCCCTTAACAAATGCTTCTGTATTTTCCCTGTAGCTGTCTTTGGCAATGGTCCAAAAACAGCAGATAATTTATACAAACAAAGACAAATTTGACAGCAAGTCAATCGTGTTACATCTACAATCTACTCTTTCCCACCGGTCCCATCTCCTTTGCCTTTGCCCTTAACAAATGCTTCTGTATTTTCCCTGTAGCTGTCTTTGGCAATGGTCCAAAAACTACAGACTTTGGAACCCAGTACCTTGGCATCTTCGATCGACTGAAGTTCATAATATCCTTTGCCAACTGTTGCTGATCCGTTTCCTTTACATTAGGCTTTAATGTCACAAATGCACAAGGTGACTCCCCCCATTGCTCATCAGGCCTTGCAACAACAGAGACCTCAAGGATTGCTGGGTGTTGATATAAGATATTCTCGACCTCAACACTACTAATATTTTCACCACCAGAAATAATTATGTCTTTTGATCTGTCTTTTATTTCTATATACCCATCTGGATGTTTTACAGCAAGATCACCAGAGTGATACCACCCTCCTGCAAAAGCAGCTTCATTGGCTTTAGGGTTCTTCAGGTACCCTTTCATCACAACGTTACCCTTGAAGACGATTTCTCCCATCGTTTTTCCATCGGCTGGAACAGGTGTCATGTCCTTTGGGTTAATTACGTCTAGTTTCTCCAAGCTCACATATCTGACACCTTGACGTGCATTGAGACGTGCTTGGACATCTGTGGGAAGTAAGTCCCATTCTGGCTTCCATGTGCATATAGTGGAGGGGCCATAGGTTTCGGAGAGGCCATAAGTGTGTAAGACACGGAAGCCACGTTGAGTCATTGCAGCGAGAACTGAAGGAGGAGGAGAAGCACCAGCTGTGCTTACATGTACTAGACGAGGCAGGGGAAGGATAGTCTCTTCTTTTGGGGCGTTTACTATGGTGTTGAGCACCACAGGTGCAGCAGAGAAATGGGTCACACCAAGGTGGGTTATAGCTGAATAAACAGCCTTTGCTGTTACCTGCATATGGACCCAGGACAGAAACAAAAGGCAAACTTGTCATGAACCAGCATAAGGAAGGGAAGAAAACTATGTGCTCAACCAGCCTCAAAGACGTTATGTTTTTCTTTTTATCTCCATCTAAAAAATCATTTCGGGTCTTAACTAGGAAGTAAGCTACGTGTTACTACTTTTTTAAATGAACATCCTTAGTAAAAATAGATATTTTCTTTTTAAGATTCTTCTAGTCCATTAACCTACTTTAAATACTGTATAATTGTGTTTTACCCTGATAGTTTGAAAAATAAGATGCCATTGCTTCTTGTTGGTGACTTGCATGACTTGCATGATCAGATGATTAAATACTGATTTTTTGTTGAATTTCAGCTTGGAAACTGGAACGGACAGGGGG